TTCAAAATTTATTGCAAAGCTGTTGTAATTAAAACAGTGTGTTATTCACGCAATAGAATAGCACTGAGAATCCAGGAATAAATTCAAATATTTATGTTCAATTGGTTTTCATCAGGATGCCAATAGCATTCGACTGTAAAGAATGGTATTAAAGAAATGGTGCTGAAACAGTTGGGTATGCAAAGGCATAAGAATAAAGGAGGACTTCCACCCCTTCTACCATATCCAAAGTTAGGTGAAAGTGGACATACAGTATGCACGTAAAAGCAACAACTGTAAGATTCTTAAGTGAAAATGTCTATATAAGTGTTCCTAATCTTTAAGTTAGAAAGGGTTTCTTGGGGCCAGTGTAGTGGCATAAAAGGCTAATCCACTGCCTGCCAGCCCCAGCGTCCCATATGAACACTGAACCACATCCTGGCTGCTCCACTTACTGATTCAGCTCCTTGCTTATGGCCAGGCAAAGCAGTAAGGGACAGCCCAAGTACTTAGGCTCCTGTACCCATATGGGACACCTAAAAGTTCCTGGCTCCAAACTTTAGACTGATCCAGAACTGGCAATTTCTGCTATTTGGAGGGTGAACCAGCAGATGGAAGATTTATCTCTCTCTGTTTCTCCCTTTCTCTGTAACTCTAACTTTCCAAGTAAAATAAATCTTTTTTAAAAATTAGAAAGGGCTTAGCTTTGTTATTGAAAGCAAGGGAAAACTGAAAGAAAAAATAAGTAAACCAGGCTTTGTCCAAATTAAAAACAGCTTTGCACCAATGGACACTAGCAAGAAAAAGGACCATCTCTACAAAATAAGAAGAAATATTCATAAATCATATAATTGATTTTGAAAGCCTTCTTCAAAGAACTCTTACAATTTAAGAACAGAAAGAATAAAAATTCACTTAAAATGGACAAAAAGATGTCATTTCTATAGTGAGTATTTAAATATTTAAGCACTTGAAAAAAATGGTCAACATCATTAATCATTCTGGGAATACTAATCAATGAAACAGTGAGATACCACTTAACTGACTTAAATAACAATAATTGTTTAAAGATTTATTTATTTATTATTTATTTATTTCTATTGAAAAGGAAGATTTACAGAGAGAAGGAAAGACACAAAGATCTTCCACTCTCATGTTCACTCCCCAAGTGTCAAGAACAGCCAGAGTTGAATCAACCCGAATCCAGGAGCTTCTTCTGGGTCTCCAGGAACAAAGTCCCAAGGCTTTGGGCCATCTTCAACTGCTTTCCCAGGTCACAAGCAGGGAGTTGGACGGGAAGTGAAACAGCTGGGATCCCATGTTGGGATCCCGGTGAATGAAATGCAAGGATTTAGCCATTAGGCTGTAGTGCTGGGCTCCAAAATCCAAAATATTTTTTCTTTTTTTATGAAAAGCAAACGTTGGTGAGGATGTGAAACAAATGAAATCCTTTATATAGCCAGTGAAATTGCTAATATGCCTGGGAAGCAGTAGATGTTCCAGATACTGGAGTTGCTGCTATTCACAAAGAGACCTGGAAAGCATCTCTGGCCCCTGGCTTCCTCCTGCTGTATCCCTGGCTATTGCATCCATTTAGCATCTTAATCTGCTCATGAAAGATTTCTTCTCTATCTCTGTCTCTATCTCTATATAGTTCTATCATCTATATGTCTCTGTGACTCTACCATTTAAATAAATAAAAGAACTTTTAAAAATACATAGAATTTCTTAAAAGAAAGCATAAGATTCTCACATAATCCAACATTTCCATTATGACATATATATATATATACAAATAATGAAAAATGACATTCAAACAAATTTATACATGGGTGTTAATATAATTTCACTATTCAAAATAAATAACAGGTAGAAGCAAAATACTTATCAGGACATAAATGGATAAATGAAATGTGTTCTGTTCACACAACAGAATATTATTCAGCCCTAAAAACAAATGAAGCAGAACATGATACAGGGTATGTGCATCATAAAAAAATATGTCAAGTGGAATGAGCCAGGCACAAAGATCAGAGTATTATGATTTGGACCATGTGACACGCTGAGAACAGATACATCCATACTTGCAGAGAGCAGGCTGCCAGAGCCCAAGAGCAAATAGGAATACTGCATCTATCATGTCTTGCATTTTTCTTTGATGTAATACAAGTATTTTTTTTAATTAAATGACAGTAGAAGCCATACAGTACCATATTGTAAGTGTGTTAAAGACTGCTGAATTATAGATTTGTAATTGGTTATTCCTACCTTTTTTTTGTAAGAGAAGGTTTTGATGGGACACTGCTTTATGCTCTGGTTACCCCACTCCAGCTCCCTGCTAATGTGCCGGGGAAAGCAGCAAAAAAAAAAATGGCCCAAGCCTACGGCACTCATCTGGGAGACACAGAAGAAACTCCTGATTTTTTGCTTCAGACTGGCCCAGCTCCAGCCTTTATGATTATTTTGAAGTTTATGCAAGAGCCTTCTCTGCCATTTTTCTATTTTTTTTCCATTAAACAACTTAAGAGTTAATTTTTTTCTATATTGTTTTAATGTTTTATGTTGAATTTTACTATCCTTATAGCTACTATTCCTGTATATATGCTTCATTTAATTATTAAACACAAGAATTATTTACCTATATTGTTAAAATGAAAGCTGTGAGCACTGATTTCACAGCATTTTTCACTTCTAATCCAAGCATTTTAAAATTTTCTACATTAAAGTTGTGGATTCATTTAGGATCACATTAGCTTCATTCTAATAATTTTATATGTTTTATTTCCCAAAGTTCTGTGTAATTTCCTTCATGTTTTGTTCATTTGAAAATATGTTTTAAAATTGAAAATATTGGAGAGTGAGTGGGAGGCAGAAAGACCTGGGCTTCTTTTTCTAAACATGTAGTTATTTATTCATTCATTAATCTATTTGCTTATTTGAAAGTGATATAAGGGCAGGGACAGAAGAGAGAGAGTTAGCTTCTCTCTGCTGGTTCATTCTCCACCCTAATGGTTGCAACAGCCAGAGTTGAACCAGACTCAATGTACATAAATATTATGTGCATATACACATATTGTATTATATACATGCATTGTATATTATATACACATATTATATATTATATGTACATAATACACTTCTTATTTTTGAATGTGTGCCTTTTATCCTTCCCATCAATATTTAGTTTATAAGTGAGATGTTTCATCCATTCAAATTCTAACCATTAACTTTAACAATATCTATTTTTTGTTTCAAAGTGAATGAGTGATGGAGAAACACGTAGAAAGATCTAAGATCTTCTCCTTCACTCCCAGACAACTTCAACAGCCAGAGCTTGCTTAGGGCAAATACAAAAGCCAAGATCTTTGAGAGTTCCCATATGGGTGACGTTTTCCAGTATTTGAGCCATCGTCCACTGCCTTTCCCAATCATAAGCTCAGAGTTGAGTTTGAAGTTGAGCAGCTAGGACATCAACATACAGGATGTCAGTAGCTCAGCCAGTGGTTTTGTACTCTATGCCACAACATCAGTTCAATTTACAGATTTTTAAAACAGCAATTCCTAGCATTTGATCTTGGTTTTCCAATTGGTTCTTTGTGGCTCTTTCCTTCTTTTCTTGCCTCAGTTTTGTAAGATGGATTGATTTGTGCACATTCATTTGCACATTCTACTGATTCAGGGAGCATTTAGAGTTTGACAATTTATTTCTAATGCATTATCTAATATGTTATCTCTACATGTTATATTTTAAAAATACACTATGATGGTGATGATGCTGATCACTTTTAAAATCTTGGTATTTTACAGAGTTGGATATTGGGAGTAGGTTATTTAGGCAAAAAGTGATAGAATCAAACTAGACCACCAGCAACACATTCCCGTGTTTATACAGACCTGTATAAAACACAGGGCCTGTACAATGAACAGATCTTTTGGTATGAACCCCTCAGTGAAGAGAAGGAATCCCAAACTGACCCAACAAATCAGTTACCCTTTGAGGTTGTAAGCCCATCACCAGAAAACAAAGACACAAAGAGAGGAGCTAGTAGGGAGCTGGAGAATTCAGAGGCTTCTGAGGTAGTGGGGAAGTAGGGGGGAAGTAGGGGCATTGAGGCAAATGGTACAACTCAGAGTAACAGAGGACAGAGCACACACCAGAGCTTTGTTCACAATTCACCAGACGTCAGGCAGATCCAAGGAAAAGGATTTTTAAAAACCGAAAAAGAAGAAGAAGACTAAAAGAAAAACAAGCAGGCAAAAAGTCCTTTTAAAAAGTTGTTTTGAATAGGAATTATCTTTTGATTCTGCTCTAAAAGTTTAATTCAAAGGGCCAGCATCTTCATATAGTAAGTTAGACTGCTACCAGCAATGCTGGCATGTTGTATCAAAGTGCCAGATTGAGTTATGGCTACTTAGGATCCAGTTCAGCTGCCTGCTAAAGCTCCTGGGAAAGTAGCAGCAGATGGCCCATGTACTTGGGCTGCTGCCCCCAATGAGGGAGACCCAGATGGAGCTCCTGGCTCTTGGTCTAGCAGTATAATACCAATTTTAATATAGGTGCTGCCGAAGCGAGCACTTGGCCTTACAGCAATGGTCATGTGAGTAACGATCCAACAAATGAAGTCTCTTTTCTCTCTTTCTCTTTTTCTCTCCCTCTTCACTTAACTGTTTGAGTAAATAAATATGTCCTTTATTATAAGGGAGCTTTGTGCTGTTTTGAATTGGATACAATGCTACAACTGGTCATGAGATCTACAGAACCTGTTTCATGTACTTTACATTCTTGAAAGAACCTCTCATTCAAAAAATACCTACTAAATCAATTACACAGTCCAAGAGTTCAGGTGAGCTGGTGGGTAGAAACAAACCAAGGGCAATGTTAATGTTGAAGGTGAAAGTCATTAGGATGAACTGTCAGACATATCAGATGCAACTTTTACTTTTAATTAAAATATTTTCTCCCTGTCATAACAACATAGGCTACAGACAAAGAGTAATATTTGAATAAGAAATTTTCTTACATGATTTGGAGTCTGGTGATGGTGGTGAAATATTCGACACAGCAAGGTCACTTTTTGATTTTTTAGGCTTCTTTGCGTTTAGCTGCCAAGGCTTATCATAGCATCTGAAATCCCTTCTTGTTCCTTTAGGTTCTGTTAAGATGAAAATGCAGAATAAGAACGAATAGTAAGAAAGGAAGAAACTTGATCATAAAATATAGTGTATATTGATACAAAAATGAAAAGGAGCCAAGGAGCAATTAGATACACCAGTTTAGTAACTTTCTTTATTCATTACTTCTGGCAAGAAAAAAATTCACATGAATTCAAATCATGCAGAAAGGGTATTGTTCTCTCTAGTTGGTTGAAAATACATGACAGGAAATCACTCGTCAGTTTAGCAAAGACTACAGAATTCAAGTGATAGTGGAAATTTCAGGATCAGTAATGATTGCATCTAAAACTCTGAGAATATAAGTTATTTAAGAAGCAGACACCTAAGAGTCCATCTATACAATTTAGCTGATTTAAATAATATCACATTAAATAAGGATAGCACTGTAATGCAATGGGATAAACCACCACTGACACGTCTAGAATCCCACATGCTCATGAATTTGGATACCAGCTAGCTTACTTGTGATCCAACTCCCTGCTAATGGCCTGAATGCAACAATAATATATGTCCTAAGTCCTTTGGCTGATAACATCCATATGGCAGATCACAAGATACTCCTGCCTTTGGATTGAGTCAACTCTGGTAATTGTAGTCATTTGGAGGGTAAATTAGCTGAAGGAAAATCAATCAATCTCTCTCTCTCTTTCTCTCTCTCCCACTATATATATATATATATATATAGATAGATAGATAGATAGATAGATAGATAGATAGATAGATAGATAGATAGATAGCCTGGCACTGTAGCCTAGGGGCTAAAGCCTTGCCTTGCATGTACCAGGATCCCATATGGGTGCTGGTTTCTGTTTCAGCAACCCTGCTTCCCATCCAGCTCCCTGCTTGCAGCCTGAGAAAGTGACCCAAAGCCTTGGGACCCCGTACCCGCACTGGAGACCCAGAAGAAGGCCCTGGCTCCTGGCTTCTGCTCAGCTCAGTTCTGGCCTTTCCAGCCACTTGAGGGGAGTGCATCAGCAGATGGAAGATCATCCTATCTCTCCTCCTCTTTGTATATCTGACTTTCCAATAAAAATAAATAAACATTTTAAAAATTCTTTCAAATAAACACATACATCTTTTCAAAATATATATCACACACGAAATTATGGTTTTTTTTAGAATTTAATGAAAAGTTATGATTAAATTACTACAAACTAGGATGTTGCATATTCTGTTTTTTCAAAAATAAAAGAAAGTGGACCCAGCTAATGATGATCTAAAGTATTGCTATGAGAACAGGCATACAGCCTTGCAGCTTAAGATGCCTGTGTCCCACATCAGGGTTCCTGAGTTCATTTCCTAGCTCTGGCTCCTGACTGTACCTTCTGCTAGCACAGACCTTATGAGGCAGTGGTAATGACTTAACACTGACCAGGCTCCTGTCACCCAAATGAAAGTTACAAGTTACATTCCTGGTTACTGACCCTACCTCTGACCTAGCTCTGGCCATGGCAGGCATTGGAAAGAAAACCAGTTTATGACCATGCTCTTTCTCTGTCGCCCTGTGTATCAGCCTTTCAAATAAAAATGTTTAGTGTACACAAAAATATAAGAGAAAAAAAGATAAGGAATTACTTACAGGAAAATAAAATGCAGTACAGACTTCCACATTTATTTTCAATGTCAAAAAAGAGAAAATCAAAACTATAGCAAATCAAATCAGTGACACAAACAACACACCTCACCTGACAAATGAGAGCCACCCAGGAGGAAAGGCAAGAAGAAAACCATGACAACAAAAGAAACAAGACAATAAAGAGGGCTCAATTTGCACAACAGCAAAAGTCACAGTTCACAGCCCAACAAAACTTGTGAACATCAAAAGCAAAGAAAAATTTATAAGCATCCAAAATTTTTGGTTTCTGTTCTTCAAAACAAGGCTAAACTTTCACACTTCCCTCCACAATATCCTGTCTCAAACTGCTATATATATATAAAGGGAGGAACAAAACACTTTTTTAGAAAAGTAGCATACTTGTGTACTTTTTTGTAGTGAATATGTTCTTTTTTCCATTTATTATTGTTATTATTTTATGATACGGTTCCATATGCTCTGGGATTTTTGTCAAGTTTCCTGTGAGAGATCTCCTGTGAGTTTATTAACATTCCTTTATATGTCAGTTAATTTTTTTCATATGCATATATAAGAATCCTTCTCTTATGTTTGACTGAAGAGAGCTTTATTATCAGTTGCAGGGATGAAGATCACTTTTGATCAGGCCTGTTGGATGTTCTGTGCCCCTCCTGGATGTTGTTTCCCAATTCTTTCTCCAGATTGGGGACGTTTTCATTTATCATTTCATTAAATACATTTTTAAATCCAGCTTCTCTTTCTGTTCCTTCTGGAACCCTCATCACTCATACTTGGCTTTTTGATAGTGTCTCTTAATTCTTGTATACTTTCTTTTAGTTTGACCCAGCTTTGCTTCCAGCTTCTTTGTTTGTTTGCTTCCCCCAGGTGACAGGAAATATCTTCCAATTCTGAGATTCTTTCTTCTGCCTCCTTCATTCTATTACGGAGACTTTTCACTTGTTTTTTTATTTGCTCTATTGTAAGCTTCATTTCCAATAATTCAACATGATTTTGTTTCAGTGTTGCTATTTCCTATGTGATATATTCCTTAAATTCCATGAATTTGTGTATGTGCTTCTCATTATTGAAAGAAGCTTTATAACAACTTTTCTGAATTCTATATCCCCCATTTTCTCAATATATTCCTCAGTTAACTCAGGTTGGCATAGGGTTTTGCTCCTTTGCAGTTGAGTCCTCAGTAATATTCACTGTGTCTCTGTCTCTTCCTTTGCTCTTGGTCACTGTATTTCTGCTTAGCAGATTCTTCTCCTTAGGTAAGTTTTCTAAGTTGTATTAACCACAGGTCTACAGTTCAATTTTACTTATTGTGTTAGGTACCCAGTTCTTCATTCACAGTCACTTGTGCCACTCCCTCCAGTGAGCTTCAGTTCTGGGCTCTTGTGAGTTGTGCTAAACAGCAGCATTTCCACAAAAGTCTATTTTTCTTTACCTATTCTACTACAGTTTCTGAAGTCCCAGCTCCTGGTTCACCACCCTCCATCTCCTGTGTTCCCCTGCTGTGGCTGTACTGTTGTCTGTCCAACCTTTCCTCCACTTCCAGTTTAACTGACTAGGCTGTTGTTGGTGCTGATCTTGCCAGAACTTGCTGGCCGTTAGTTCTGAGGGCTACCCAGACCTATCTTGACCCATAGAAACCCAAAGTATTATTTTCCCTGTGGGACTGTGCAATGAACTGAGCTGAAAGTGAATTTGCTCCCAGCTCAACACATGTGCAGTTCACTGTTGCCCCTGCAGTCTGATAGCCTTTGTCACACTGTACAAAAGGGTGCCTGATGTGTCACTAGCGGAGATCTGGATCTGCTGGCCATTAGGTCTGGGGACTAACCACACCGAATTTGGGTGGAACCTGTAGGATGGCATGTCAGCGCAATTCACTGAGCCAAAAATGAGTTCACTACCAACTTAAGCTATGCACAATCCTGTCTCACAGCTGTTGCCTCCCTACACAAAATGGTGCCCACTGAAGCTCTGGGGCATATCTGAGATATAAAATGCACCCTTTTCCCACACAGCCTGTTTGGGGGTCTGTTACTCTCTTTCTGCTCCTGGTCGAATCAAAACAAATCAGTAGGTTGGGCAGTTCTTTGCCTAGGTTCACTGCTGAGTTCCCAGTGAACTCTCCTTCCCACCTGGCTCCTGGAGCTCTGGTCTCCAGTGCAGCTCAGATCACTACTTGCTGACTGCCACTGGACTATCTGGTCACCGCTGCACCACACCATTGTCCTCTCTGCTTTCCCATGTCTGTCATTCTCCAGGTGCCACTCTGCCATCGGCCTGTTCTCTCCTGTTTCCTAGAATGCTCCCTCTCTGCCTCACCCTGGATAATGATTCTCCATCTATTTAAACATATCCTTATCCTATTCTGCCATCTTAATTCTCTCAGTAGTGTATTTCTGTACATTGAATACTCAGTTTCAGGTAGCTCAAATTGTTTCTAAAGAATTTTAATTAACTTAAGGTTAAGCCACCATAGTTTACCATCACTTAAAGTATAACCTCTTCAGTAACAGCCTTGCTTTTCTCTCCATCCTGCTTCACTCATCCCATTAAAGGTTTTCCCCCCTTTCTCCTCTGGTACCTATTACAACTTCATGTTATCTATCTTAACATACATTCCCCTTCTCTCTCCCTCTTCCACAGCTTCTTAAAATGAAAGATGTTCCCACCTCTCCCCGCGTCACTGGCTGTAAATGTAGGCCAGGGATCTCCTGTTTCTTAATGCTTCTAGAATAGGTAAAGAAAAATAGACTTTTGTGGAAATGCTGCCACTTAACACTATTTATAGTTCTTCTCAATTGTCATCTCTGCCTCTGATCACTCCTAGAGACCTCCTTAAAACAATGGCATGGTCTCTCTTGACCCTTCAACAACTTGGGTGAAAATCTGGTGATTGGTTTATTCCTAAACAAACCATGCATGTTTAGCCTGTTGACTTCCTTGCTCTCCCTAAATCTGAACAGCTTCAATTCCCGATACTTCAAAACACTTCCAAACTAAAGACGCACATTGAATCTTCTAATTTTCTGGAACTATTCCACCCTAACTCAGTTTCTGACATTTCTTCACTGCATGGAGCTCACAGCAGTGTTTACCTCAATCATTGGGTCTTCCATGTCACTTCCTGTGTGCGTCTTCCTGCACTTACTCACATAATTAATTTTCTGGTCTACTTTGCAACACTACTCATACAGCTTCTCTCACTTTATCACTTTTTTTTGTCTTCGAGATTTATTTATTTTTTTATTGGAAAGGCAGATATACAGAGAGGAGGAGAGACAGAGAGGAAGATCTTCCGTCCGATGGTTTACTCCCAAGCCACCACAATGACTGGAGCTGAGTTAATCTGAAGCCAGGAGCCAGGAACTTCTTCTGGTTCTCCCACATGGGTGCAGGGTCCCAAAGCTTTTGCGCCATCCTTGACTGCATTCCCAGGCCACAATCAGGAAGCTGAATGGGAAGTGGGGCTGCCAGGATTAGAACTGGCACCTGTATGGGATCCCAGACACATTCAAAGCAAGGACTTTAACCACTACACTATTGCGCTGGGCCCTCTTCTCTCACTTTAAAAACACAAGCTCGATTCTCAATCTGTCTCTCAAAGTCTTTTCTCCCTACACAATACTTCTAAGTACTGCTGGAGAAATATTACAATCTAGTGGGTGGTTTTCATAATTAATGAATAATAATTACAAATTAATTCATGATTTCAACTTCAGCAAGACTCAGAATTTATTAATAGTGTGCAATTTCTTTTTGCCATTTCTTCCTTTTTATCTTGGTGACTTCATAATTGCATCACTTGTTCAGTCTTCTTTATCTGATCCTTGACCCTCTTAGGGTTAGTCAAAGCGTCAACACTTCATAAACAGACAAAAGCTAGAGTTAGACATTCATCTCATACACGCCTTCTGCAAGCCCATCTCTTGCTCTATAATTTAACATCTTCCTCCATTCTTTGACTCTCAGGACTGTCATGAGAGCATTTCTGTATAATATTCATATATTTGTATAATGTGAATGACTCTCATGTCTAGGGCTCCTGCTTCAACTCGCCAACCCCCAGAGCTTTGGATTCACAGTCAAGTGTCTTCGTTAATTGTCTACCAAGCCCCAGAATAGAATCAGGCATTTGGCCCAGTGACTGAGTCGCAGGTTGGGATGCCCACATTCCCACATCAGAGTGCCTGGGGTTTTGTTCACTGCTTCTCATACCAACTTCCTACTAATCAGCAATGTGGGAGGAAGCAGATGATGGCTTAAATATGGGAACGCTGCCAACCATACGGTTGCAGTTCCAGATACCTGGCTTTGTCCAGGCCCAGCTTGACCTGATTCAGCAATTTGAGGAGATAACCAGTAATTAAAAGAACTCTTTGTTTTTCACCTTTTAAATAAACTTAAACAAATAAATTTAAAATAAATTCTAAAAGATGACCCCAAGAAAAAATAATCAATAGAAACTAAACAGAACTTATATTTTTCTTCCTAAATTTTATTCTATGTTCTCACAAATTATTAAATGAATATGTATGTCATTACCTTCTCAACAATGCAGGGCAATATAATAATTTCCTCCCTTTACCTGCTCTTCAAGAGAAGAGTCAATATTGCTGTGGACAGCAGCATTCTAAGGAAACTAATGGATTAGTACACTAACTCATAATCTCTGACCCTGGTGCTGTGCCCTATAAGACCATATCGTAAACAATTTATCAAAAATGTGGTCAAAGGATGTTTATTGCTGCAAAATTTGTGAAATTACACTTTTTTCATAATATTCCTCTTTCATAAAATTCTCAAAGATTCCTCATATACATGGATTTAAAAAAGGCTATTTCAGGGCTGGCGTTGCGATGTCATAAACTAAGTCTCTGCCTACAGTGTTAGAATTCCATATTGTCGCTGGTTCGTGTCTCAGCTGCTCCACTTCCTATCCACTTTCCTGCTTGTGGACTGGGAAAGCAGCAGAGGATGGCTCAAAGCCTTGAGACCCTGTAACCCACTCAGAAGAAACTCCTGGTTCTTTACTTCAGATCAGCTTATCTCTCGCCACAGTGGCCATATGGGGCATGAATCAGAGGATGGAAGAGCACTCTCTCTCTCCCTATCTCCTGTCTGTCTTTCCCCTAACTCTGACTTTCGGATAAAATACAATCAATTTTACAATAAAACATTTAAGCCAAACAAATTTATATTTACCACATTTCCATGAACATTCTAAAGTCTCAGCAAATCTCTCTCCTTGACAGCAGGCAGGATTTTTGACCTGCCTCAAACCATTAAATATGACAAAGGTGTTGTTAGGATGTCAATGTTGTAATCTTCTTGTATTACATGAGACTCCAGAAAGCACACCTGGGAGAAATATTATCGTTGGCTTTAAAGAAGTGAGCTATCATGATGTTAAAATTATGTGGCAAGGAACTATGGACTGTATTTGGAACTGACAGCAACTTCTGGCTGAATGCCAGCACAAGCAACAGGGATCTTAGTCCTAATAATCGCTGGAAGCTAACTCTGCCAACAACCCAAATGAGCTAGGAAGCAGATTCTCTCCTGGTCCAGCTTCCAGACAAGAATGCAATCCATCCACAGTCTTGATGTGCAGCCCTAATGGGGCTAAAAAGAGGAGTCAGCTAAGCTGTACCCAGATCTCTAACATTCATGCACACTCAAACAGAATGGGAGCAGAGTAAAAACACAGAGTTTAGTAATATGCTACCATCTCTGTAGAAACCTCAACCTATATAATATGGGTTCACATAAGCTTAAATTGGCTCACCAATGTCCATTTGCTTTCCCATGGAGAGAACCAATTTAGCCCGAGCCTTGATAGCCACCATATTTACAATTGAAATCCAGAAAAGATATGTCAAGAAAAAGAAAGAGTTGTTTCTTCTGTATGCCAAAGCTTATTAATTTTTTTTAAGATAGAAATCAACACTAAAGATGTAGAAACCCTTCCGGGAATGTCCTGTTCTTGATTCCATTTCAGAAGCTTTTAAACAGTATCTGAAAGGCACTGAAATGACAATACATTCAAGAAAGATCCAATTTTTTTTCACAAGATCACAATGAGCAGGAAGAAAAGAAGTAATGGCATCATTCCATGGAAGCTTTTGAAATCTAACAGTCAAACCAAAACCAGGAGCCAGGAGCCTCTTCCGGATTTTCCAAACAAATGTAGGGGCCAACGGCTTGGGTCATTCTGTACTACTTTCCTTGGCCACGACATAGAGGTAGATAAGAACTGAAGCAGCAGATGGGATAGCAGTGTTGCAAGTGGAAGATTCATTCACTGAGCCATCATGTTAGCCCCAGGTTTTTGTATTTTAGAAACATTTCATCATATACTGAAGTTGTGGTTATTTTGTGACAAATTTTAACATGGGTAAATTCACACATGAACTTAAGAAAACCCTCCATCATAACTAGCCATCTAGATTCCTCTTATTATAACCAAAAACTCTGGGGATTTTTTTAATGTAAAATATATCCAATATTAATAGCAAAATTTTCATTTTGATTTACCTGATGGCTCGCTTTCTGCCCAGAGAGCTGCAGATCCAGACAGAGTTCTTTGCAGTTGTCCCCTTTTTCCTTGTTTGGACTGAAGATGATCAATGAGAAATGGGATGGGCTGGTCAGGTGTCTCAGTGATTAACTTGGTCATTAATTCCTGAAGGTACAATAAATGACACAGTTACATCGAGCAGTAACAGCAACAATAACTGCAAACACTAACTTGGCATTTGCTGCTGCTAGGCACTGTTCTGCTTATTTTGATAACTAATTAAACCTTCATAATAATTTTTTCAGGCAGATATATATAATTATCCTCATTTGGCAGAATTAAAATATAGCAAAATCAAGTATATTTTCAGCATTTATTTTCATGTTTATTATATTTAGTCAATAGCATACTAGAAATTTTATCTAAATTTCTTCTAAAAATTATGATCTAAGAACCTTAAATTTCAATAAGGATTTCGAGAAATGCCATTAAATGCTAAATGCTCACTAAACTTCACCACATGTCTTATAAATCAACATTATTTTCCCTTCTCAATTTGGGATACAAACATACTAAAAATCAAGAAAATTTTGCTGGGATGAATAAACAATTAACAAATTATAGAAATAGAACATGTCTTAAATTAGTCTCCAAATAACACAGAATTTTCTCTTTGCAAAAATCCCTGATAATCAACATACCTTCTTTTTTTCTTCTTTCCTCTCCTTCCTAACTCTCCATTATCTAATGTGTTAAGCACTGGTGAGTTCTCTACATGTAACGCAAGCTGCTTCATTTTTAGACAGCTCTAATGATATCTTAAGTTATGCAGAAGTCTACATAAAATCTACTCATTTTTGTTTCAATGAGAAACAGCAAAGGGCAATTTCAAATTTGTGGTCAATAAGAATGTCCAGATTGTTCAGATGTGAACAGCTATCATGCCATGTAGATTTCATTTTATAATGCGTAATTGGGTTTGTGGACCTACATGCGTTGTTTCACAGTCATAGAAGTTAGTTTATTCTGTTAATGTGAGCTCAAAATTCTAGTATGTCAGTTGTCATTTTCAGGTTCAAATTCTATGAGAGACAGACATTCTAGTGAGGAGGCCAGACATCTCAGATACTAGGAGAGCGAATGGAAGGGTTAATGGAGATCCCCTATCTCATTCTCTTTTTTGTTGTCGGTAGCCTAATTGTTATGCCTCATGTTCTCTCAGATGTTCAGCTAGCTGGCTTATCATTATTCAATCTCAAATAATAACTTCTAAATGAGGCTTACTCCAGCCATTCTTCGTAAATTTTTCTTATTTTATTTTTGTCAATTTACAGAATTATTTTATTTAATATTTTTCCCTGTTTTCTGTCTGTCACTTCTGCAGTTCAGAACTTGCCTAGTTTGATGTCTACTTTTTTCCTAGGTCCTAGAACTCTGTCTTACAACAGGGATTGTGTAGAGGAAGAAGGAAGACGAGGAAAAGATGGAGAAAAAGAAAAGCAGGAAAGGAAAAAAAGGAGGGAATGGAGGGAGGAAGAGAGAGGAAGGAGAAGGGGAAGGAGGAAGGTGGGAGGAAGGAAGAAAATCTCTTTTTGGACCCATAAATGGCTATTACAGCAGTCATTGATTTCTCTTCTCCACCAAACTACATAATCTTCTGACCCCCTAAGAAAATAGTGTCATAACGTTTCCAGTAATATCTACTTATATGTTTAACAGTGTAGGAACACAGATGTACCTACATGAAAGCTAAACAAATCTTGTAGATAATAAGATCCCAAGTTGTTCTTAGATGAGGACAAGATGATTTTAAAATGTGTAGATTGAATCAACTATTGTTAACAATATGGGGAAAATCAGTCAGCAGGTGGGAATCGAGGGTGGGGAGGGCAATCCCAGATTCTACAGAATTGTATCATAAAATTCAAAATTTAATTAATTAGTTAATTAATTTAGAAAGTAAAACTGTCTTTTCTATTTTCTGTGAACTTCTTGAAGTAACTTGCTAGTAGAATGCAACTAAAACATTTTATATCTTGCTTCCAAAGGAGAGATAGGTTATATTCTATTTGAAATCATTGTACATTACAACACATACTAGAAAACGGAAAGAAAAATACATTTAGGGGAAAAAGACGCTACCTTTCCCACATAATGCTTTATCTTATGCTTTTATCACAGCATAAAATTATCAGATAAAAGGGCTTTGAAGACAGTACTTTATATACTAAGACTTCTGATATTTTTGTGTTCATTTTCTACTGGCTTTTTTTTTTTTACATTTTAAGTGGAAATTTCTGTACTTTTTATATTATTTATTTAGTTTACTAAGAAGCAGAGAAGCGAAAGGGAAGGGAAGAAAGAGACAGCCCATGAAATGGTTGACTTTCCAAATGCCAACAGCAGAACCCAGTATGAAATAAAGGAGGTGGACAGAAGTGAAATCTCCTAAAACCATTCCTTGGTGCTTCCCATGGTGCTCAGCAGCAGGAAGCCTGAATCTGGAGCAGAGCCTGGAACAGGACCCAGACACTCAGAGCTGAGATGCCCTACCTGCTAGCCCAAGTGAAGTGCTCCTACGTCCTGTTTAAAAGAAGTTTATGCAACTAAAATAAACCTTATCATCACTACCAAGTTTTAATGATATTATCAATCTAGTAACTAATTTTAAATGCATCTGTATCAGGTTCTATTAATGAGCTTACAATGTCAGCATCCAAGCAAATGCAATCAGAAGAAAAGGGAAAATGTGTAATGTCTACACTAGGCTATGTTGTTGTCTCAACTGAGCACATATATAGTTTTAGACGATTTTACATACAACATACATATTTCAAGTATGTATTCTTTGGCGTTAGGATTCAACTTCATAGAAGCCCCTTTACCATAAGATTGAAAACCTTAGATTTGCAAACATACTCCTGGTAATAAATGGATTGATTTTTTCCATCAGTAGGATTCAGAGACAAAAATATAAAACTCAGGAATTGACACACTGGAGTAAGAGAGAGTACAGTTATGCAACTGGACTGTCGAGCGGGAGTTACAACCCAATTGTAGGGAGCTTTATAGGGATCCTTCGATACAATGGAAAAAAACGCATTCCGTAGCTCAGACTAGTGTCAGATGTAGAGGCTCAATTTCATTAGGAAACAGTGTTTCCTAGGTCAGTGACCAGGCCTGACTACAATTCTTACCACTAGTTCAAAAGTCATCATGTGTGATTTCCCTGGAAGATGCTGGCCATAGGTATTTACAAACTGAAAGAACAGCAGAAACAGCCATAACATTGCTGCCCTTTGACAAAATATTTACAGATAATTTATGCTATAAACTTGGGTATTGGTGAAATGCAGGTATCATTTTAATGTGATTTTTTTTGCATTTAAAGGATAGTTAAACATGGAACATTTCAGTTGCAAATAAAATGTTCATATAAAAGCAATTGTCATCATCAGAAGATTAAATTCATGCGTACTAACATCAAGTACATCAATGTAAACAGAATTGGCATTAGAAAGACAGAAGATAAAAGAAAAGGCACGCAAACACTGAAACCAGCTTTTTTTTTGAAATAACTGATTTTCTCCAGACTAGCTGTGTGACTGTGCAAGACGCTTAATCTCTTTAACCATCAATACCCTATAAAAGAATGTGAATGATAATATTACTTATATTACAATTGAATTGGAGATTTAAAAAATAATGATTTTGAAGCATTGATGCATGCTTGATTAGTATGTAGCCTATTGTGATGGATTGCCTAACACTTCCACCTTGGGCTGAGAACTGTTCCCCAGAATTTCCTTCATATGATTTAGAGTAGAGCGACTTCTTTGTGCAAGTGGAGAGAAGCAGAGGACAACATCCTCTGGAGCTGACAGGAATCAGATGTGAGGGCACACATGGGAGAACCAGCAGCTTCTCAGTGTGTTGTGGTGAATCCCACGGCAGCCTGGAATCATCGTGACAGCTCTAACTGGAGAAATTAGCAGCTTCAAAGGGAAGCATTTGAAAATCATCTGCAGTGTTTTTCTGGCCTCCTCTCCTCCCTCCATCAAATATACTCATTTTCACTAACCCCCTGTTACCCAGTAACAGAGTGGCTTCTCTCTTGCTGACTTACTCTTACTAACATATCCCACCAAAAGTGTTAAATGATCATGCAATATTTATTATTATTTTAATACGTATAAGGCACATAACACATTTATTCATTTAATTATAGTTCTAATTTTATTACTGTTACTATTAATGTCATCAATATATTATTTTTAGAATTAATTAATTTATTTTATGATATGGTTCCAAAGGCTCTGGGATTTCCAACCCTTCTCCCCCCACCACTGGTTTCCTCTATTTTGTTGCAATCATATAGTTCATCAAAAACTGTTTTAAGTCCATTGCTCTGCTATTTAAGTATATATTAAGATTGTATGTATGGAGAATGGCAGAGTTCAGCCTCCTATGGTAAAGACATATTTAAATTTCATTGGGAGTCCATTTCTGATTTGAAAGTAGAGATGCATACTGCACTGTATCTTCACATCTCATTGTGATAGTCTCCCTTATACCATTTCTCTAGATGACTATATATACATGCATGCTTACCTGTCTATCAACCTTGTATTTTGCATGAAGTTTGTCTTATATCAGAGGTAACATATGATATTCGTCATTTTGGGATTGACTTATTTCACTGAGAATAATGGTCTCTAGTTGGGACCCTTTAGTTACAAATGGTAGGATTTTACTCTTTTTAATAGCTGAGTGGTATTCCATGGAGTAGATGCATTGCGGTTTGCTTATCCACTCCTCATTTGACAAGCATATGGGTTGTTTCCATGTGTGTGCTACTGTAGATTGTGATGCTGTAAATACAGGAATATTGATCCCTTTCTAATATGGAGATTTCACTTCCTTTGGATATATTCCCAGATTTGGGATAGCTGGGTCATACAGCAGGTCAATTTTCAGTTTTCTAAGCACTCTCCATACTGACTTCCATAGCGGTTGTACTAGCCTACACTCCCAGCAACAGTGAAGAAGGGTCCCATTCTTCCCACCTCCATGCCAGCAGGTGTTGTTAGTAGAGTTCTGAATGTAGGCCAATCTCACTGGTGTTAGATGGATCCTCAATGTATCAATATATCTTTTATACTGTA